GCCGGCTGTGGGACAGGCGCATGGGCCAGCGCGGGACGGCCAGAGACAGGTGACACAGGGACGTCAGTGTGTCCACACACGCAGGGTTCCCAACATCCTGGGGTCCCTGCTGTCCCCTCCAGGGTCCCCTGACAGGTCCTTGCCCTGCTCAGGTCCTTGCCCCCCCCCAGGGACCCTGTCTCCCTCCCAGGGTACCCCCCCCCATCGGCTCCAGGCACCCACCAGCAAAGAGGGCGACGTTGCTCTGCTTGGCGTCGAAGGGGCACCGGGCCTGGCCGCTCACCTCCTCGCCCTCCTGCGCCAGGCTGCCCACCTAGAGGGGCCGAGCCGCTGAGACCCTTTACGCTTGTCTTCCCTCCCGGCCGCCTTCCCTGGGCATTGCCAGCCCCACGCTCCCCAGAGGGGAAACTGAGAGGCTGGGAACCCACACACTCATCACTTCCCCTCCCCCCAGCAGTGATACTGCCATGTTCCCAGAAGGGATCAAGCTGTTGAGACCCCCCAGGCTCATCACACCCCACTACCCCCAGGCACTGTCACCCTCATGTGCCCCTGCAGGGGACTGAGACACTGAGGCCCTACGCACTCATCACCTCCCACCACCCCATGATCCCTGGAGGGGACAGAGCTGTCAAGGCCCCCCATGCTCATCATGCTCGTCACCCACCCCCCACCTCGTAGGTGCGGCACAGGGGGTTGAAGGCATTGGTCCCGCAGGCGAAGAGGGTCCGGGCATCCCGCGGCACCAGCACCTTGATGTAGTTGTAGCACTCACCCTGCACCATGGGCATGGGGACATGGGGACATGGGGGGACATGGGGGAACGGGGGGACATGAGGGGACACAGGGGATAGGGTGGCCATGGGGGTCCCAGCTGCCCCAGCCCCCGGGAGGAGCCGAGCCCATCTGTCCCCATACCTCTGTGTCCCCATACCCTCTATACCCTGTGCCCCCATACCTCCATGCCCCCCTACCCCATACCCCTTACTACTCTGTGCCCCTGCACCCCCATAACCCCCTATACCCCAGCACCCCCATACCCTGTGGCCCCATACCCTCACGCTCCCATGTCCCCCATGCCCCCATACCCCTGCACCCCTTGCCCACATACCCCCATATCGCTGTACCCCCATATCCTTATCCCCATGTCCCTGTACCCCTATACTCCGATAGCCCTTGCACCCATATCCCTGTCCCCATGCCCCTATACCCTGTGCCCCTGTTTCCCCTATAGACCCATGCCCCCCACACCCCTGACTCCCATGCCCCCGTGTCCCCTGTCCCTGTACCGCTGTTCCTGTGTCCTGTACCTGCAGCTTGCCCCGCATGGCGCAGTTCTCCCTGTCCCGCGTCTCCCAGGTGAGATGCTGCTGGCCGAGAGGGGCGGCTCAGCTCCCACTCCCAGGACCCAGGCGTCCAGGCCCTGCCCTCACCCCAAAGGGCCAGCATCCCCTGGCCCCAGCATCCCCCTTACCCGCTCGGGGTACAGCGTCCGCTTGTCCTGCCCCAGGTCGAAGGCATAAACATGGTCGCTGAGGGGAGAAGGGCCATGAGCGTGCAAGGGGCACGGGGACGTGTGAAGGGACATGGGGACATGCAAGGGAACATGGGGAAGTGCAACGGGCATGGAGATGTGTGCAGGGACACAGGTATGTGCAAGGGAGAACAGTGTCATGGGAGAGGGCATGGGAATGTGCAAGGGGATATGGGGATGTGCAAGGGGACCTGATGCCGTGCAAGGGGGCACAAGTGTGTGCAAGGGGTTCCAGCACCATGCCAAGGGCACAACGACATGCAAAAGGGCACGAGGGCACGCAAGGGGACCAGATACCATGCAAGGGACATGAGGTGCAAGGGGGGCTGATGCTGTGCAAGAAGCATAAGGATGTGTACAGGGGCCTGTGGGTGTGCAAGGAGGCCCTGGGGCCCAGTGAGGAAGGGCAAGGGGAACAAGGCCTGAGTGTGCCAGCCCTCGTGTGAGGCCCCACTCACCGGGCTGCCACGAAGAGGGTGCCATTGAGGCGCAGCATACGCTGGAAGTCGAGGCCCAGCTGGGCCGTGATGTTGTCATCCCGGAGGCCACTGAAGCGGGGGTAGGTTGCGGTGCCTGGCAGGGGTACAGCAGCACGTGTGACCCTCGGCCGCTGTACCCTGAGCCCTGGCCCTGCGCCACACGCCTGCCTGCACGCACGCCCACTCACCTGCCAGCCCCACGGTGCTGCGGGCCACCAGGTCCTGGGGGAAGGAGAGCGCTGTCCCCCCTGGCCCCCCGAGGAGGAGGAGGAGGAGGAAGATGGCAGGCGGCATTCTTGGGGCAAAGCGGGGGAGCTCAGCACCCACGCAGCCGCTGGGCACCCTAGGCAGATATGGGGCTGGCGGTGAGCCCAGGCATTTGGGCTGCAGCCATCCTGCCAGGCTAGAAGGGGTTAAGCCCAAGGGTGGGGGGAAACTGAGGCATGGGGGGGCACCTAGTCCACCCCCATGCCAGAGACAGCCTGGGGTGAGGGGGGAAGGCAACGTGGGTGCTCCTCCTGGGTGTTGTGGCTGTCACCAGCGTGAGGTGACCAGGCCAGGGTGGGGGACCTAGGCGTCTGGCACCCATTGGGAGCACAGGCCCCTCAAAAGGGGGATCCCCCCCCCCCCACACGCCGCGGGGC